TGATTGGAAATTACCCAAAGCAGAAATGATTGTGTTTCTGTTACCGTGGGTGTTGAGAGCTATCCGGAGTCTCAGGAAAGCACTAAACTGGGTGATACCCACTTAAACTGCATCTGGACTGATTGGCGTGCTTTCCACAAACCTCCTGATCAATTTACAGGCACTGTTGATGGCTGCTGTTTCCATTGTACTATTGAGCAGGAAAATCATGTCTCATTTTTCAATTTCTGCAGCTGAAAGAGTTAAAAAAAATTATGTCAGTCAAGCAATATCTATCAATAGTTATGGCTATCAAAGGTGTCATTCTAATATCACCACACCAGTTCAGCTTGGTGCTGAACTTCTCTACCAGGTAAAAAAGGCAAAAATGCCACAAAAAATCTTTTAAAAAGGATATTCAAATATCAGATTTATGCAGTATTTTATATTTATATTAAATTATGTGGTAAAGGGTTAGGTATTTTGGATAGAAGAACATACAGTTACAGCTTCTGATTTTTAGCAATGTGATGCTTTCAGTTGTATAGCTCTTGAGATATTATATATAATAAAAACTACAGCCAAACAAAAACTGGGTCCCAGTTATGGTGTGATGTCTCAAGTGGGCATTAGAGTATGTCCTGTGCGATGACCCCTAGACATATTTTATACAGTACAGTACAGTATAAACATACAGTTTCATATATTCTGATGTGTCTATTTTAAAGCTTTTGCCCAATATTGAGAAGAACTTTTTGAATTCAGGTCCAAAACATAATAACTGCAATAATAAAAATAACCAGTCCAGCAGGTGTAAATAGAGACTAAATATTTTAGACAATAAAAATCCCACTGAGTGCTGATGAAAACTTAACATCTGTAAAATGACTTCTGCCGCTTCTTTAATGAGATTGACTGACTGAACTTACCTTCCTGAGCACTGAGCTTAACTTACAGTTTAACTTTAAGGACCTGTAAGTAGTGAGATCTTGGCCTGGTGATTTGGTTTTGCTTGTAATTACTGTTGACTCTCCTTCCCCCCCCGTGCAGGTTTAATACCTAAAAGGCAGTCAAATAATTACTCTCAAACACAGCACAGTTGTTCACAACAAGTCAAAATCCAATGTTTAAAAGCAGCGTGTTCCACTTCACCCAGAAAATACAGAGCCTCAGGGCATCCGAACGCGGCACGACCCAGCAGGAGAACAAAGAGCCGAGGCAGCAGGAGATCACACTTCTCATTAAAACAGCATCATACAGTTTTGTTTGTTCATTGTTTCATTTTGTCTGCATGATGATGTGTTCCATTTATTTTGCTTTATTATCATCAGAGTCATTCAGTTGCATTTACAGCAATGCATTTGACATATTAAAGAATGATACAGCGCTCGTTGACACTAATTGCAACATGAAGCAAGAATCAGTAACTGAACAAATAACTAGAGAAGATTAAAGCTCAAAATCAACAGTAAGCTAAGAGCTGACAAGCATTTTCACTTTAATAGAAATCTTATTAAACATCACATTATTATTAGTATTAATATTATCATTACAGTGTCTAGTAAAACGTATTTACAATCTGTACAACTCCACTGAGGCACGTCCCGGAGATCATTTTAACACAACGTGGTAACCATCAGTGTTTTCATCTGTTAACACACAAAGATTCAGTTAAAGATCATTTAAAATAAAAAAAACATCCTGATGAAAGCTTGAAGCTTAATATCAATAAATTGTTTCTGCTCTTCAAAAGAACTGGTGTGCTCTGTGACTCTAAATAAAAACAATGCAAAAGCACTGAAAATAAAACAGCTGCAAACGCTGAAACTAAAGAATTTGATTTATTCATTTTGAATTTGATGGCAGCAACAAGAAGCTGTTTTCCACTAAACTGCTTCATCTGTTCTTTGGAAGTAAGGAAACATGCTTGCTGCAGGAAACCAGCTGCTCAGCGGCCGCAGCAGCCTTTGGTTTCTGGACTTTGTCAGGCCAGTTTAGCGCCTGGACTCTTACTATGAAGCCATGCTGCAGGAATACAGCCACAGCCATGGTTTGGGATCATCTCACTGAAATAAACAAGACTTTCCCAGTAAACCAACATCTAGATGGCAGCAGACGACTCCAAAACATATAGATGCCATCCTGCAGGGATGTTCCTGTTCACTGTGTCTGAAGGCCTGAGCTCCACCAACATTCACTGTTTCAGCTTTTTCCTTGATATTATTTAGCAGATGAAGAAATCCTATGTTTGTGTGTTATATTGAGAAAAGTTCTGTTCATGCTGTTTACCCACAGATTACTGAACTCATCTGCAGCTCTGGGATTACAACTTTAATAATTACAACTTTTCCAGCCTTTAGCTGCCCCTGAACCAACTTTTTTTTTTCCTCTCCAAAATGATAAACAAAGACACGGAGCAACACAGGCAGCCATCCAGATGAAGCCCTCAACAGGGAAGGTCTTGTGTGTTACACCGTAACTATGCCGACTTACACTGCATGAATTCCACAAAAAACCACAAAAGTGGTTTTCAGTTTTGTGTACATAGATCTTTCCAGCTCCTCTGAATCTTTTGATGATGTTATGTAGAGCAAAAAAATCCCCAAACTATTGGTAGCATTTCTACACTGTGGAATATTTTTCTTACATTATTGTTCAATGCAATGAGTTGTTTTTTTGGTTTGTTTTTTAATACATTCACCATCTTTTCCACTTTCTTTTTGACCCTGCTCTGATTTATTTAAAATGTTTTTGTTACATTAAATGTAAAGTGACCACTGATTTTTTTGGTTGTGTTTTTCGTTTCAGCATTTGATTTGCTGCATTTGTAGCAGA